CCCCCCCCCCCCCCCCTCAAAAGTTAAATGGTCGGCCCCTAAGCATGGCATGAGCTGCTGCCCTATGACGTATACTTATTAGTTAAACCATGCATATATATGCTGTAGGTAGCTGCAGTGATACAGACAGGGCTGTAGCGAGGGGGGAGTATTGGGGGGTGGTTAACCGCCAACGTTTTTAGAATCAACATATTCAGAAAATTGGGTTGGCCATTCGGAAAATTACGACAATAATAGTAGAACAAAATTTTAGTTGTTAAACAGAGAAAATATTATAAAATTGTATTGTCACTAACTCACTATAAATTGTAAGCAAATTGTAAATTTTGACATACTAAAAAAACGCTTTTTTCTGACCATCAGCATTCTGTCAAAACTTCTCCAAAGTCCTGGAAATGGCATTCAGAGACTCGAAATTTAAAAATTTCTTCTGGCTTAGTATGCCATGATATATTTGGAAATTTTTTTCGTCATTCGGAAATTTTTGGCCTACACCCCTCCCCCCCCCCAACTATACATGCTAGCTATGACCCTGAATACAGACTTGCCGACTGGAACTTCTCCAGGTCCCCCGCTAATTATGTCCACTCCAGTTACACATCCTTAAAAAAGGCCCTGAACCAAATGCTATACCTCATAGCAATATGTATTATTAAGAGCAATGCATGAAGCTAGAAAACTCAACGTTAACTATAATTAAAGAATCTAAATAGTATAAGCTATTGAAAAAAAATGCTGCGAAAGAAAGTGTGGGGAAAAAAATCGTACATGGTGATGGGATAAAAAATTATCTTGCACATAACGATCCCAGAAAAAAATTCCCTGCTAGCAGTAAATCACCCACCCCCTCCTTCAAAAGTTAAATGGTCGGCCCCTTATTCTGTGTCCTTGTTGAAAAACGTGACGTCACGCGTATTGCGAATATTACCAAAGTTCTCGGTATTTTTGTCGTTTTGCTATATTTTCCACTTTAAAAGGGTGATATTGAAGCATAAACTGGTCTAATTTTTTTAAAAACATGCCTAAGCCACGACAAAGTATTCAAGGTAAATGTTTTTCGTCTTTGTTTTGTATTTTTTACATTTGTAGCTACGAAATTGGCGTCACAAATTTTAACGAAATGTGCGATATATTTTTCACTGTTTAGTGCTTGAAATATTTGCTAAAATTGACTGAGAATACTTAGAGTTTTCATCGTAGAATGGCGTGGTTATATTTATTTGCTCTTTGACTAAAATGTTTAGCTGTATTATTGCTAAACATGCCGTTTTTGAGAATTTGGTTTGCAACTAGGTTGGGACATCCAACCACGCCATCAGCCCATTGAAAACATTAGGTCACGTCAGCTAGTTTCCTATCCATTTATTTTATTATCCATGATCAAACCAAGAAATGTTTGCTATTTCGCTGTCGTCATGCAGTCGTTACAATGCAAATTTTAAATTGGACCAATCAGTGTCCGCTATTCATGACAGTCCGCCATATTTTTGAGATCAGTGAGGATGATCACCCACCGAACCACTCACGGTAACCCAAGCCCGCACTCATTGATGAATTTAGACTTGGCTAATGTTTTCGTTTCCCCGGGTGTAAATAGCCGGGGGAATTAGTACCCTCGCACGGCGCTCGGGGATAATATGTTGACCAACTTGCTTTATTATATGTTATATACTGTATGTTCGCTCACAGTTTACAGGTATGCAATGAATATTATTACTAACACCAAATGTCGTCCGTATATATAAGCCCACTCGCATATGCATGTATAAAGCTCCCCCATTTATAAGCCACCAATGATTAATTAATGCTTACGAACGAATATAAGTCTGCTAATCGTAGGTTTACGGTAGACATATGTTGCCCCGAGTGCAGCGAGGCAGCACACTATTCTTGACTTGTTGATGTTTCTCCTCGACTCAGTCTTAAGACTCTTGTCGCCGGTATTTCCGTTGAAGTTTATGGCTTTCGATTTTAAGTACTATTTCATTGTGTAACCGTCTTCTTTAATGCACACACGTCAACTTTGTACCCAGGGCTCGCCACAAGCGCAAAAGCCCTGGGTACAAGGTTGCACACACGTAAAACTGGTATGACTAAAAGGAGAGTTATTACAGGGGAGTTAATTAAGTCGGAGAGTTAAATTTCGGAGAGTTACGATTTCGGAGAAGTAAGATTTCAGAGAGATAAGATTTCGAAGATTTCGAGGAGCTAAGTTCGAGTCACGCCTACTTTTTCCAGCGACCGCACCCAATATCATAACTTTCCTGATGTTTTCTTTCACCTATAACATGAAACGTTAAAAGGTTATGAGAGAGTTAACATTTTTGTAACTCTCTGTTGTTATAGTTACGTACTGAGGTGAAAGTTTCGTCTGGCTTTTAAATTAACGATTAATTAAAACGCAATGCCGTCCGGCCTTATAGATTTCCGCAGTACACGTCGGGAAGATTAAACATTAAAGAACTCCGCGAGTATTTGCAGTAGAAATACGGCAATACAACCAAAAAATTCCGCTTGAAAGATACTATATACTCCAACAATGTAAAATAGTCATAAAATATAAACTAGCCATACTCGAACAATGTATACTAGCCATACAATACCTATACACAGTTCGAATATATACTCGAACAATGTAAACAATATATCACTAAGCCATATACTACTACCTTTCGCCGAATATAACTTTGCCCTCTTTCAACGTATCGTTTTCGTAATCATCTTGTTCGAATCACAATCCAAGACACTATCAAGAGTGTTATTTTCATGCTTGTATCTGTAGATTTGCATCTTTTATTTCGGTATTTCAGAATATCTAAATTCTAAGCAAATACAAATTTAATTGTCGAAACAATGCGATGTTTCAGCCATTCCGCACGTTGTAACCAATAATCTATTGGCGTTGTAATGCCATTGTACGCAATAAAGCATTGGGTAGTAATGGTCTACAATTACAGTAACCCTAATCCAAACGCTAATCCTTATCCTAACCCTAATCCTAACCTCTAACCCCTAACCCTAACGTTGATGACTAGGCCTTTTTTTAAATAATCTTTTAGCGTGTGGCATGCGCGTGCGAGTAAAAACCCAATATTTTGAAAATTTCAAAATATTTCTACTCGTCGTATTCAAACGAAACTTTCTACATACTGTTAAAGCGCTTGAATAAAATATTGACTTGGGCGAATTCTGAAGAGTTTAGAAGATATTCAGGTTTTTATCCAAATGAAATACAGAACATTTGGCCAATCATGAGTAAATGTGCGATTGTTTTGGTTTGTGTATTGTTTTGACGGCATTCAAACCCTCCGTTGAAAAGAGCATTTTGTAAAGTCTTAAAGGGGGGGGGGATACTTGCCGAGATATTTTAATCTTCCCCACTCCAAATTCGGAATGTAAATATACACCGGACGGCATTTAATTACAGCGTCAATATAAATGGCAAAACGTTTGTACTGGAAGAGAAAAAAAAACCCTAAAATTAACTCTATCGCCAAGCTACATTTTTCAAAATATGTGCGGCGTTGACTTACTTCACAACCATAACAACAGTGAGTTACATGGTGAAAGAAAGTTACGCCAAACATGATAGTTGATAGTCGGGGAGAGTTATTAAGAAATTGGGTGTGGTCATTTGAAAAAGTGGGCGTGCCTCAACTCTCCGAAAACTTAACTCTCCGATTTAATTAGTCACCCTGTAATAACTCTCCAATTGACCTTTCCACATAAAACTCACACAAATGGTCAACAAGATGATGTCTTAGCAACAGGCTTGTAACAAGGTTATTGTTGCGATGCCAGGTAATTGTCACTCACTTCCGTCACTTGTTGACCAGTTCTAGTGGTTGAATCGCAGAATGATAACAAGTTTTTCGAACAACTTGTAACAAGTGTGTTGAGTCAGCAACGGCAACAATCATGCGTACTTCAACCATCTTTGTTGTAATATGTGAATAAACCCATTCTATGTTTTATATAGGTGATTCTGCAATTCTGGGATTTTGTTTGTGCAGAATGTTCGCATAATATATGGTACACCTTGTCTTGTGGGGTTACATTTGCTACATGTATGACAACTGTCATGTGGGGCAAATGTAGCCATGATACTGGGAGAGTCAAATACCATGCACAAAGTGTACTTAAGTAGCTGTGTCTAGTGTGATAAGAACAAATGATGGCAGAATTTCCAATAAGAAGATAATTAGATAAGTATCATCAACTATTGCATGATTTAAGCTATAAACATAAAATAACTTTTATCAATAATGACTGCAGTGCATTTTGTACTTCGAACAGAATGGGAAACACCAACATGGCTTCAAGCCATAATGGCAACCATTTTTTTCGACCAACTCATGGTCGCCAGAAAGACTGGACAATCTATCTGAGTCGTGTGAAACAAATGTTGAAACAGAAGCTAGACTGGATTTCTTAGGCAACAATGTGAGTAGCGATTTTGTGAAACCCTCAGCTCAATTCCAAATGAAAGAGGTTTTAAAAT